ATTTTGCAATGAGGATGCAACCTAATCACTCAAGTGCTGATAGTCCTCAAATGCCCGCCCACAATTCCCTCTGTGTCCCCAGAAGTTACAGGCAAGTTCTCCCAGGGAAAGAATCAGCATAGTTCAACTTACTGCAGCACAATGGGATGGCCCCTAGAAGTCCTAGCGATACACATGCATGAATGCAGCACCAGTGAGGAGAGTAATTTGAATATGGCTTTTCAGTGTTGTTGCTTACACCTGAGTTATGCTGACCCAGGTGCTAATCACCCAAGTTAGCACTGCAGAGAAGACATACACTTAGGCCTTGGCTACACTTGCAAGTTACAGCGCTGTAAAGCCTCCCCCAGCGCTTTAACTCACTCCCCGTCCACACTGGCAGGGCACTTACAGCGCTGTATCTCCCTGGGTACACCGCTGCAGGTACTCCACATCTCCGAGAGGAATAACAGCTGCAGCGGAGTGGCTACGACTCACGGGTGTGAGCGTAAACGCTTGCAGCGCCGTACTAATCACCTTGTCAAGTGGCCAATCCTCTCCATTGTTGTGACCAGCTGCAGGAATGCGGAAGTGCCAGTTTCAAAGCTCGTACCACAGAGAAAAGCAAACAGTTTGAGCTTGCTTTGAGTGAGTAAATGAATGAGCAGGGGGCCGGGAGTTCGGAACTTGCAAAATAGAGAGCTCACACGCTCCAAAAAGCACTCTCTCTCCCCCAACACTCCTTGTCACAATCCACCCCATCCCCCGTTTTGAAAAGCACGTTGCAGCCACATGAATGCTGGGATAGCTGCCCATAATGCACTGCTCCCAACACAGCTGCAAATGTGGCCACACCACTGCGCTGGCAGCTGTCAGTGTGGACAGACTGCAGCGCTTTTCCCTACTCAGCTGTACGAAGACAGGTTTACCTCACAGCGCTGTACAGCTGCAAGTGTAGCCAAGGCCTTAGGCTACACCTGTACAGCAATTAAACATCCACAGCTGGCCTGGGTCAGCTGACTTGGGCTTGGGGGGGAGGGGGAGAGGAGGCTTCAGCTGCAGGACTGAAAAACTGATGTGTAGATGTTTGGGCTCAGGCTGGAACCCAAGCTGTGGGATCGGGGGGGGGGGGTAGGTCCCAGAGTCCAGGCATCAGCCCAAGCCCAAATGTCTACATAGCCATTTTTAAGCCCCACAGCCCAAGCCCCGCAAGCCTGAGTCAGCCAACCTGGGCACGCTGCAGGTCTTTTATCCCAATGTAGATGTACTCTTAGAATGTTCAGCAATGGAACCAATGGCTGCAGAAGAAGAGCTCATTTCCTGTTCCTCTAGCACAGTGATTCTCAAACTTTTGTACTGGTGACCCCTTTTACATAAAAAGTCTCTGAGTGTGACCCCCGGTTATAAATTAAAACCACTTTTTAATATATTTAACACTATTATAAATGCTGGTGGCAAAGTGGGGTTTGGGGTGGAGGCTGACAGCTCGCGACCCCCCACATAATAACCTCACGACCTCCTGAGGAGTCCCAACCCCCAGTTTGAGAACCCCTGCTCTAGCAGAACCTTTGGAGGGCCACAAGAGCCCTCTCTCAACCCTTTGCAACTTTTGCATGGATGGAGGGTAGGGCTTCTATAGGATATGCTTAGGTTAGTCTGTGGCCAGGGCTTATTAGTTCACTTTTTGCTATGCAGCTAGAGTTAGTCATGTATGTATATATGTATGACAGTCCTCCTTCACTGCACATTATGAATTGTGCAAGAAAATTTTCTTGAAAGCCTCACGTTGTGCATCTGTATTTCAAACTAGTAATATTTCTGAATCTAAGCCAAGTTTCACTGGAAGATTCAAAGATATTTCTGAGCTAAATTCCTACTCCACATTTTTAATATAATGGGAAAGCCTTCCCTATCCACCCCCCCGCCCCCTCCACACACACACTAAAAAATGGCCCGGCTGCAGCTCTGCTCCCACTCCCAGCCTTGGCCCCTGGCCACGACTCCGTTCCTGTCCCTGCCCCCAGCCTCAGCCCCATACCCACCGCCAGCTGTGGTCCCCTTACTGCTGTCCTGGCCTTGGCTCGGGGGGGGGGGGGGGGCGACAGACGGGGCAGAGGGGTTGCAATCCTCAAAAGTTTTGGGACCACTGCTCTACATTTCCAATTGCTCATAGTTCTCAGGCACGTCAAGAAATGAAATTTTCCACGGTCTTATTCAATTTAAAGATTTAATTTATTTATTTATTTAAAAAGAGAACATAAGTACAACTAGTTCATCCATCTGAATAGGAAAGTAGGGTAAATGCTTTCTTCATATGTTCTACCTTTGTAATTCACATTTCCAGCTTCAGTCATCTACATCTGAGGACTATAAAACAAAGCCAACGAGGAAGGGAAAATAACTTAAGAAAATTGGTTCAATATTTTTAAGACTATGAGTGCTAAAATAACCATTGAGCACATGAACTTTAGGAATTATTTTTTAACTAGTATTTTATGACACCCTTACCTTGTAATGATTTAGAACATGTTGCCCTAGTTAAAGGCTGCCCCAACATTGTCCTTTTCTTAAAGCAGAAAAAAACAAAATCAAAACACAAAAACTAATGCCGTTGAAATTAAGAAATCAAGTACACAAGTCAGGAAAATCTAAAGATCAAAGTTTTTAAACACAATGCTGACAGGGTCTCCCACCTGTTAAATGAAAATCTAATTACTTCCCTAACTTGTGTACTTTATTTCTCTTTCTGAATGTAAAATGATACATCACTAAATACAAAAACCCAGACATGAGAAGAACTAGTTAGACCATATCTGGAAATCAAAACCATCATTTTTGATATAGTAAAAGATTATAATTGATGTGTAAATACTATTTCCCCTAATTTAGTGCAACTTCCTAGCTCAGTTAGAACAAGCAGCCCTATCCTGAAGATAATGACTCAATGTAACAAACGAGCTAAATCAGTAGTAAATAGTTTTGAAGAAAACAAAGGCTAGATACTAAAAAGGTAATCAAGCAAACACAAGAACCAGATGTGCTCAATAAAGAGACAAGCACTAAAGAAAGCAGGCAAAATTTATTTTTCAGATGGAACACTTTATAGCCTTTCAGTGACATTCATCAAGTAAGGAACACTATTAGGTAACCAGAGGCAAAGACTCCAGCATTATTTTACTTGAGGCAGAGACATTGCCTCCATAAGGCTTCCAACCCAAAAGAATAAAACCAGATCCTGGAGCAGGTTTGGGGCTCCCCTATAAAAATCAGAGCCACTAAGCCAGTCCTTTAAGAAAATCCTTGAAGGAATGATTGAATGTGACTCTCAAATGATAATTCATCCTTATACAAAGCCCTGTAGAAAGGTTCGGCCCTCTCTGGGGCGGCGGGGAACCAGACTGCCTCGCTACGTCCGTCGGGTTATTTCGGGGGAACTAGCCTGGCCACGGGGTTTCACGCCGCGGCAATGGTAGAGACCAACAAACAGCTCTATTCCGCAGACCCAGGCCCTGGGTCAGGGCAGGGCAGGGTAGTAGAGAGTCTATGGCTCAGGCCCTTCTGCAGGGGCTGATCAAACAAATGAGTTCAGGAGGCCTAGTCCCTGGCTTCGAAGGGCCTGGGGAAAAGGGGGGACTGCCACGTTGGGTGGCAGGTGGGACGCAGGCCCACCCACTCCGCTGCGTCCCAGCCCGGGGCCCTAACAGCGGCAGATGGCCTGCTGCTGTGTCAGTGGAGATCCTGGCCGCAACACACTGACATTGGCTCTGGGTGTGCTGCAGCCAGACTAGGGTCGGCTGCCCCCGGGCTACTTCCTACCTCCCCCCTCTAGAGGTACCTGCGTCTGGACGGTGTCCTCCACAGAATCAAGCACCATGGGCTCTTCAGGGTACTCGGCGAGAGGTAGGCTTGGCAGCTCCTCTGGGTAGCTTGCCACAGGCAGGCTTAACAGCTTCCCCGGGGTCTGGTCAGCATCAGGCCTCGGCTGGTCTGGCCAGTCCTCGGATCGGTCGCAGACTGCAGGAGTCTCCCACCGGGAGCTAGGCCACAGGTGTCTGGCTTCTCCAGTGGCTGGGCCTCTAGTGAGCTCTGTGGTTGGGCTTTTGTACTTCCTGTCCTGCGCCCTGACCTCTGGGTGGGCGGGCGCAAGCTCCACTGGCTCCACCCACTTTAGTGTCCGGAGGGGCTCGTCCCTCTCCGGGGTGGCGGGGAACCAGACCGCCTCGCTACAAGCCCCAATAGATATTTATCCAAACATATAAACGAGCAGTCCGTCTTAACATTTAACTTAAGGTTTCAATTCCAGAACTGTGTCAACTATTGCAGTACTGTACACTTTAGCAAAGCACAATTCTATCTAAAAAGGATGATCTGGCTGCTAGGGCCCTAGCCTAGGATTCAGAGATTTGGGTTCAAATCTCTGCTCTGCCACAGACTTCCTGTACCACTGTGAGCATGTCACTTAGGCCCAGATTTTTAAATGTATTTAGGCACTGCTCCACCTGGTGTTGCTACACCTAACTGACTTAGCAGCTGATCTCACTAGCACTAGTGCTATTGATGGTACACAATTTAATGTAGACAGGGCTCAGGCATTTTTACTACGTCACAAAAGCCTGAACAGAGGCACATTGGTTCAAAATGTTCCAGTGTAGACAATGTCTTTGAGCAAATACAATTAGTACTACCCAAGCAATGAAGGCGGAAACAGCGCCTATGTGCTGCCTTTTAGAGCCCAATGCCTTAGATCTACCTAGCTGTGCAGTTGAACAGAACTGCAAGACAAAATCTTTGAAGAGCAAGGCTTTTAGAAGTTACAACTTTTATGCTAATTCAAAGTTTTTCTAAACAGAGAAATATTACTTGTGCATTGAAGGTACTTTAATAGAACAGTTTAGATAACCTAACTCAAGATAGTTACTGAGTTTCCAAAGAATAAAAACAGTCTGCATCAGAAGTTAAATAGATCAAAAAAGCATTAAGTATATTTAATTTCAACTGTTTCTATTTTTTAAAATACTCACACTTTTGTTCCATTTCTTTCATTTCTTCAGGAGGAATTTTTAATTTGTCAATATGGTCTCTTACAACACTTGCCCACTTTTGTAAGGAATCCAATGCAGTCCAAGGCCTAGACATGTCTACGACCAGCATAACCAGAGTGTCCTTTAGAGAGTTAGCCTCCATTGCAAATTTAAGGAGACCTTTATGATACAGGTCACCATCCAAAATCCACACATTACATCTTGTTTGATCTGTAATAAAAAGTAGAAAATACAGATTTTAATTTATGTCTTGTAAGTTATGCTTTTAAAATGTAGTCTATAGGATCATGGTTAGTATATTAGGGCTGGTCCACACTAACCCCCCACTTCGAACTAAGATACGCAACTTCAGCTACGTGAATAATGTAGCTGAAGTCGAAGTATGTTAGTTCAAACCTACCGCGGGTCCAGACGCGGCAGGCAGGCTTCCCCGTCAACTCAGTGTACTCCTCTCGCGGAGCAGGAGTACCGGCGTCAATGGCAAGCACTTCCGGGATTCATCCCAGAAGATCGATTGCTTACCGCCGGACCCGGAGGTAAGTATAGACGTACCCTTAGAATTGTGTTTACAGTTCTACTAATATCAGATTTCTTAGCTCCTGGTCTCCATGAGACGGTATGTAAAACCCAAGGAACATGTACCATCTTTGCATACAGTAACTCCACACTTAACGTTGTAGATATGTTCCTGAAAAATGCAACTTTAAGTGAAACCATGTTAAACAAATCCAATTTTCCCATAAGATTTAATGTAAATGCGGGGGGTTAGGTTCCAAGGAAATTTTTTTGGGGCAGACAAAAGGCATTATATACTGTACAGTACTGTACTGTGGTTGGGAGGTGCCCCTGGCTTACCGCACACAGGCACAGCCCACTAAAGGCAAGGACGCTAGGAAGCGCCTTGCGCAGCAGCAGCTTCCCCCCAGAAGAACAGGCACCGACTTTGCCCGGGGATGCTCCAGGCCCGCCTCTTCCAGGCCCGCCTCTTCCCACCCCCGCTCCACTCCAGGCCTCTTCCCACCCCCACTCCACCTCCTCTCTGGAGCAGAGATACGACACTTCCCCCACTCCTCCTCCTCCTCCTCCCCCTCCCTCCCAGAAAGTCCTATGCACTGCCAAACAGCTGTTTGGTGATGGGGAAGCGCTGGGAGTGAGGGGAAGGAGGCAGAGAAGAGGAACTTGTGCACTGCTCCCTTGTAAAGTCGCTGCTCTTCCACAGAATCTTACAAGCAGTGGACAGAGCAGGCAGTCAAACGATGTTATAAGGGAGCATTGCACAACTTTAAATGAGCATGTTCGCTAATGGAGCAGCGACTAACTTTGAAACAATGTTAAGCAGGAGGACGTTAAGTGAGGAGTTACTGTACCTTATATCTGCAATTTATCAGCCAACAAATTGGTTTCTTTAAAAAAAGAAATACTTTAAATGTATCTTAACTTCCCTAGAGCAAGTTCCTGAAAGTGAAAGCACATTACCTCAACATAATACTTAGCATTTGTGTAACATTTTACATCTGCAAGTACTTAAAAATGTTAGTCTTCACAGTATTAGCGTAAAGCAAGTATTATAGTAAGAGAATATTTAGGCCTTCAATGCTCAAAACTATCAGCTGTCCCTTAAGAGTTGAGCTAGACCAGGGCTGAAGGATCACTTTTACAACCCCGCTTTGAGCAGCCACAATCCAATATGGCTCCCTCTAATGTCTCTGCTTCTCTCTATTCGGCTATGTCTACACTACTGCGGTAAGTCGACCTATGCTATGCAACTCCAGCTACGTGAATACCGTAGCTGGAGTCAATGTACCTTAGGTCGAGTTACCGTGGGGAGTCGACAGGAGAAACTCTCCCATCGACTTACCTTAATCTTCTCGTAAGAGGTAGAGTACAGGGGTCGACCGGAGAGCAATCTGCTGTCGATTTGGTGGATCTTCACTACACCCGCTAAATCTACTCCCAATGGATCGATCTTAGCATGTTGATCCCGGCTGTAGTGTAGACATAGCCTTCTCTATGATACCCGTAAGTACTAGGGAGAGGGTGTGCCATGGCATGATGTGCCCAAACAGGCAGAAACAGTACCAGGCCTTGCAAAAGGTGGAATTACAGGAAACAGAAACCTGATTTTTTTGCAGGGGGAAAGAGAAGAGAAATGGACAGGAACACTTTACAGCTAGTCCCCTGCATCTGCAAGAAATACAAAATATCCCCTCCCAAAAATATGTATGCTCTTAAGTTTAATATAAACATTCATTTTTAATTACACATTTTCCCCCCCAGTGAGCCATTTAAAAGTGTTGGAACATTCACAGTGATCAGGTTCAGTAAAATGAGGGCAGTTTTCCTTAAAAATCTTGTTTTTAGTGCTCATTAAGAGTGTTGGTTTGACAACATTGGATATGGAGTATTGTTTATTCACATAACAGATAAATACAGCATAGTCAGAAGTGCAAACTTCATATCACTTATCCAATGTTCCTCATCCATCTTCCTCCTCTCATCCCCACTGACTCAATCCCACTTTTGTGGTTACCCTTATCCCTTTACAGTTCCCCACAACTTCTGCCTACTTTTCTCCTCTCTACCTTGAGCTCTCCACTCCTCCCACCAGCACAAATCTAAGTTCCATGTCTGCAACCTTATGACCTCTGGTGACATTTACCCAAATCCTGGCCCTCTCTTCATCCCCACCCACTCCACCTCATATAACTATTCCCCACCATGCCTCTCATACCACCATTCTTAATCTCACACCCATCCTCCTCCTCCATATTTTCTCTTGAGATATCTACAAAGATCACAGTAATCTATGACTGTGACACACTGTACCTCGAGGGAACACCCAGCACCCCCATGTTCATCCTTGTAAAATGATTGTGTGGTATCCAATGCAAAGTTTGTCATATTGGGTGTCTTCGGAAGGCTCATGATGCACTGAGCATGGTTGTTATAGTAATTGTTACAGTAATGTTATAGATTATAATTTCATGTATATAGTTATGAGGCTGAAAATGTATCCTCATGGCTTAAAGCAAGCCCAGGCAAAAAACTCTCCAAGAACAGAGAGGCAGTTCACACCTCAGCAGGGCAGGTATGGGACAAACCCAGCCCAGCCTCACAGGAACAAAGGACACTGGCCTAGGCACCAACAAAAGAATCTGTTAGACTCTGGAGGGAGTCACCCCACTTCCTTTGGTCAGTTTGGAACTGCAATGAGATAATGCTCACCTGACTCTGAAGGGGGGGGGGGGGCAAACCCAAGAGGGAAGAAAGGACATGATAAAAGGGACAGACATTTGCCACAGTCTCTCTCTCTCTTCCACCTACATTTACAGACACCACACCAAGCGAGTGAAGCGCTGATCAAAGGGGAAATCCTGGCTGAAGAGCAACCAGCCAGCCTGTGGTGAGAAGCATTTATGTTTGTAAGGGCATTGAAAGTGTTAAGATCAGCTTAGAATGAGTTTTGCTTTTATTTAATTTGACCAAATCTGACTTGTTATGCTTTGACTTATAATCACTTAAAATTTATCTTTGTAGTTAATAAATCTGTTTATTCTACTTGAAGCAGTGCATTAGGTTTGAAGCATGTCAGAGACTCCCCTTGGGATAACAAGCCTGGTACATATCAATTTCTTTATTAAATTGATGAACTCATATAAGCTTGCAGTGCCCATAACTGGACACTGCAAGACAGAGGTTCCTAGGGTTGTGTCTGGGACTGGAGATATTAGCTAGTGTTATTCGGTTGCACAATCCAAGGAGCAGCTTACATGCTAGAGGCTGTGCGTGAACAGCCCAGGAGTGGGGATTCTCACAGAAGAGCAGGGTAAGGCCGGCTCCCAGAGTCAAGGATTGGAGTGCCCTAGCAGATCAGTCCAGATAAAACCAGAGGGGAACATCACAATGACCTCTTCATATTTTGCTCCCTCCAGCTCCTGCCTCTCAGAAACTTGGATCCCTTCCTCTGCCCACTCTTACGGAGGCCTCTCCTTCTTGCACTCCCCACCCTAAGACTGTGGTGTGCGTTCTGTGCTTTTCTCCTGTTCCTGATGTTTTCAATCCCTTCCTTCTCCCCTTTTCCACTTTCTCCTCTTTTGAGCAGTGCTGCATCCAACCCTTCTCCCCTCTCCCACTCCAGGTTGCGGTCATCTACAGCAGCGGTTCTCAACTGGGGGTCCACAAGCCCTTTCAAGGGGGCCGTGGGACCCCGTGGCTGAAGTCTGATCCCTGCCCCCCTCCCCACCTTGCAGGGGTTAAAGCAGGGGAGGCGCACGGCTGAAGCCCTGGAGCCTCAAGCCCTAGTGCTCCCTGTGGCGTAGAAGCCCTGAGCACATGGGCAGAGTTGGGGACATGGAGGGCATTGCCCCCCTCCCACCACTGCAGTGCAGGATCATTGCAGTCCTGGGGCAGTTCCACACCTCCCCACCCCCCGCCTCTCCCCGTTCAGGTAAGAGGCGGGAAGCTGAAGCCCGAGCCGGGAAGTGTGGGACAGCTGCTGCTCTAGGTGGTGCATGGAGCAGGAAGCAACAGCATTTCTTCCTCTCCGGCTGGTGCCCCGGGTTGAAGCTGCTCCTCAGCTCCTAGCCCCCTTTGCTTCCCCAGAGGCAGCCGGTAAGAGCCCCCCAGTTCGGGAGACCCAGCTCCTTGCCTGGCAGACCCCTCCGGGAACAGGGACCACAGGGGAGTTCTCCCAGCACACAGCCCCTAAAGCCCCTCTCCCTACACCCTGAGCTATGCCCTCCCTGCACCCTGAGTTACCCCTGCCCACACACAACCCCTAGCCACCCCCTCCTCTGCACCCTGAGCTACCTCCCTGCCTGCGCATGGCCCCTAGCCACTCCTCCCCCCGCACCCTGAGCTACCCCTGCACCTGCGCACAGCCCCAGCTACCCCCTCCTTGCAAGTTGAGCTACCCCGTCCGCACACAGCCCCTAGTGACTCCCTATCTCCACCCCCTGCCCTCACACAGCCCCTAGTGACCACTTTCCCTGCACCCTAAGCTGTTTTCAAACTTTTTGAGCTAAGTCTCCCATCTCTGAGTTATAATTGTTGGTTGCATTCCCCTCTCCAACCCAGACAGGCTGGGTGGCCTGCTGAGGTGAGTCAGGGGTGGAGGTGGCACTCCCTCTCTGGACCCCGCCATGCAGAGGTGGCTCGAGACCTGCTGGCCCCTGCCCTGCCCCTAAATAGAAGTCAAACTACGCCTATGCCCAAGGCCCTGCCCCGAGGCTGCTCCTACCCCCGCTGGGCCCTGGAGTCTTTATACCATGATGAGCGGGGCCTCAGAGGGAAGAAGGTTGAGAACCCGTGATCTGCAATCCACCCATCAGCCTCTCCCACTGATTTTTACTCTTGGATCTCTCCTCTCCTCACAATCTTCCACACTCATCTTCTGTGACTTCAGCTTCCATGATGATGACCCAACACAACCCTTTAACTGCACATTTCCTTGATCTTACCTCTTCATTCAAACTGCAGCCCTGATTCAATGCTCCCACTCATCAAAAATGACATTTCACTGGACTTTGTCTTCACCAAGGACTGCTTTCTATTCTCGGTTACCAAATTCCCCCCCCATCTCCTACCTTTTTTCAGCACTGTCCATCAGCCACCCCAATCCCTCAACCTGTCACTACCTGTGACCTCCATTCCATCAGTGTTGATGACTTTTCCATCTGCTCCCAGCTTCCTCTTCCCTTTTTTCCATTAATATAGTTGTTTATTCTCTCCATGCTTCCACCCTTAACTTTTCCCCCCCCCTCCTATTGCAAGGTCTGCCCTGCCAACCCCTCTGGATCACCCACAACATTTGCTTCCTCTGCTCCTGCTCTTGCTATGCAGAGCATCTCTGGAGGGAGTCCCAGGACCAGTCTGACTATATCCACTATGAATTTCTCTTCCTTCCTGCCATCTTTCTAGCTAAAACAGCTCTACTTTAACTTAACTGAATCCCATGCCCACAATCCCAGCTGCCTTTCTGACACCTTTGACTTATTCCTCAAAACCTCTCCCTCCTCTAATTCTCTCTCTGCACAGAATCTCGTCAATTTCTTCCAAGAGAAAGTTAACAAAACGTGTGACCTTTCCTCCCCTCGGCATGTCTTCCCTTCCCCTCCTACAAGGCTCCTCCTCCATCACAAACTCATAAGTTTTTTGTCATCTCTCCTCTAAACCATCCACTTCCCCCAGTGACCCCATCCCACCCCCTCACGACAACTCACATCCCCACCTTAACCTCTTTATCTCCTCTGGCTCTTTCCCCTCACAATACAAGCATGTGTAAGTCTCTCCCATCTTTAAAAAGCCACCATTGACCCCATTTGTCTCTCCAATTACTGCCCTATCTTCATTTCATCTCTAAATTCATTGAATACACGGTCTACAATGGCTGTCGGTAGTTCCTCTCCACTAATCCATCCTAAACCCACTCCAATCCTGCTTCTTGCATTGAAACAGTCCATCAAAATCTATAAAAACCTCTTCCTCAAAGCTCAGAACCAGGACTCCATTCTTCTCCTCCTTGATCTCTAATCCACCTTTGATGCTACCAACCATGCACTTTCTGAAATCTTGTCCTCTGGCTTCCATGCTGTCCTCTTCTGGTTCTCTTTCCACCACTCTAATCACTCCTTCAGTATGTCCTTTGAAGACCCTCCTCAACCCTCCTCCAAATTTCTAGGGAGATTCCACAAGGCTCTGACCATGGGTCCCTGTCTCTTCTTCCTCAACACTTTATCCCTGGGTAATCGCGTCCACAAACACAAATGTAACTATTCTCTCTATGCTGATGACTCTCAGACCTTCTTCTCTACTCCAGACTTGTCTCCTTCTTCCAAACTAAAATCTCAGCCTTTCTTACAGCTCCTCAGGGATGTCTAGCTATGAGCTCAAACTCTATGGCTAAAACAGACTATTATTCATTCCCCACCCCCGTCCCCACACCCCTCTTTTCTCAATCACTGTAAACATCACCTGCCTGTCACTCAGGACTGTAACCTGGGTGTAATCTTCGACTCGGACCTCGCTCTAGCCTCATTTCCAGGCTACTCCTAAATTTTGCAATTTCTTTCTGCATAACATCTGGGGGATATGGCCTTTTCTATCCATCCAGGCTCTCATCTCACACCTCAATTACTGTAATATCCTTCTCTCTGAAATTGACAAATGCAATCTTTCTCCACTCATCCATGCAGACTGCTGCTGCAAAAATAATTTTCCTACGCCATGGTTTTGACCACATCACTCCTTTCCATCCCTCCACTGGCTCCCCCTACTAATGCATTAAACACAAGCTACCTGTGTTCACTTTCTTGGCTCTTCACATCCTATCCCCACCCTACTCTCATTCATTACTGAAATGTCACTTCCTGCCTCCTATCCCCATGATGCCAACCTACATCGCCCACTTGTTTGAAAATTCCAAACAAGTACCTTCTTGTTTTGTTCCAGGCTGCCCCTCATGCTTGGGAGGGGCTCCCCATAAACATCCACAAATCTACCTCAGTTTCCCACATCAAATATCTCCTTAAAACTATCTTCTGCTATGATGTCTACAAAATACTGGACAACTAGGCTACTGATGTGCTGAGACTACTCTCTACCATGCTGACCAATACTATCTCGTTGTTTCCTCACACTTTCCTGTTGGTCTGTTGTCTCGTCATATACTGTAAGCTCTTTGGAGCAAAGACCATCTTTTTATTCTCTCTTTGTATAGCACCTAGCTTAATGAGTTCCTAGGGGCTATAGTAATACAAATAATAAGTATTCTAAAGACACAACACTATTCTATTCTTGACAGTCTAAACAGAGGGTACCTATCATGATGGTTTCTGTTATGCAGATACCTGTTTATTGGGAATTGGACACACATTTCGCATAAACCAAACTGCCACTTGAAGGTAAGTGTTACTAAAGGCTTGGGCTAAATTTGAGCAAGTGACCTAGGAAATTAAAAACTCCATATCCCACTATTAGCCTGTAAGCCATCCAGTTTAGAATTAAAATCTTCTCACTGCTGAGGATACACAACTGATACTTACCATCTCTATCTTCATCATGCACATTTAAGTACAAGTACTCCATTCCTCTTCCTTTCTTGTACTCCTCTATTCCTTGAAGTTTGCCTATTAAGCTAGTTTTTCCTGCACCATCTTCCCCTAGAAAAAGACAAAAGTTAATATAGATCAAATCTCTGAGTAAATAATGTTACCTACTTACAATTTCTTTTGGGGCAAATATCAGGTAACAATGGGAGTCACTCAGCTAGAACTCATGCAATCTGAAAACATAGGTGTTTGATTTATTCCAAACATATGCATCAGCCCCAACATAACAAATACTAATCATGTCTAGTTATAATATTAATATATTTACCACCATTGTAGTTTTTCTACTGTAGTATTTTTAACGTTCCTCTTATTTCCTAGCTTAACTAACATTTTCAGAGCATTGCACAATCACTAATTATTTTTAAGTTAAATTTTGACATTCAATATGGTTTAAGTCCACAAAAGCCTAGATTTCAATTCAATCCATCAGAACACACAGAATTATTTTTCTAATATGAACATGATAACAGACAGTAAGTATATTTTTCAAATATCTTACAAATACTATAAAGTCAACTGAAAAGTGCAGTAGTCTAAATCTTAATGTTTTGTACAATCTTTTTAAAAGCAGTTAAATGCAATGTCTTCAGATGAGAACTGGGAAAGGAAGAAATGAACAATGTTTTTCTGCAGCAAATTAACTTTCCCAAAAGTATTTCCCTGGCTGCCACTACCACAGACTTCAGGTCAGCCCTCCATCAGGGTGGTAAGCAATAATTACAAGGGCAGATTAAAAGGTGATATGTGTGAAGAGGGGTGTCACAGTTTCCTTCTCTTTCCTTTAAAAAAGGGTTTCTAGCCCTTACGGTTGCAGATATCACATCAAAAACATAAACTAAGTGATGCCTATCTAAATACACATGCAGTCTGAAACAGCTCTAAAGAAGTGCTAACTATCCAGGGCCGGCTCTGGCTTTTTTGCCGCCCCAGGCAAAAAAGCCTCCCGCCATGCCCCCCCAGCGCGGCAGGGGAGGGCGGCGAGCCCGCCGTGGCTCCGCTCTCCCCGGCGCCCAGAGCACCGGGGGAGGGCGGCGAGCCTGCTGCGGCTCTACTCTCCCCGGCAGCCGGAGCGCCACGCCACCCCCCTCCAGGTGCCGCCCCAAGCACAAGCTTGGTGGGCTGGTGCCTGGAGCCGGTCCTGTAACTATCCCATCCATGTCAGCGAAGGGCCTGTGAACTCTTCAATTCTGTAGCCAAGAGACCATGGCATTTTTTCCAGCATGACAGAGAATTTGGCATTTTTGCCACGGACGTCATCATTTTGCTGCAGCAAAGTCATTTTTCCCCCTCTCTTTGCCCTGCTAGGACCTGGCACTTGTTCAATTTCCCCACAAAGGAGAGTTAGTTGGAATGAGTTCTCCACCTCAAGGTTGCAACCAACCCACACCTCCCATACTGGGAAATGGCTGTAGTATGGAAGAAGTTGAAAACCACTGTACTACTAGGGTTACCATCCATCCGTATTTCCCTGGACATGTCCGGCTTTTGCGTCTTTAAATAGCCGTCCGGGAGGAATTAGTAACAAGGTTAAAAGGTCCGGTATTTTTACCCCTCCCCTCCCCCTGCCTCCCTCCCATGCAGAGTGCGGCGTGGTGATTGGGCGGCTGGGCCCCGGCCTCCACCTGCCACCCCCTCCGCGCATCCCCCTCCCCCCCCCTCCCCTGGCTGAAAGAAAGCAGCACGCCCCTCTCCCCTGCCTGCTTGTGCACATTCCTACCCTGCTCCAGCAGCAACTGCTGTCTGCTGCCCCAGGGTCCTAGTGCCCCCCATCAACTAATGGCAAGGCAGGCTGCCCTTACCCTGCCCTTCCACCCTAGCCTTGAGCCTCTCCAACACCCCAAATCCCTCAGCCCTAGCCCTCATCCCCCTGCACCCTAATCCTCTGCCCCAGCCCTGAGCCCCCTCCTGCATCATGAACCCCTCATCTTCAGACCCACAGTCCTCACCCCTGAACCCTCTCCTATCCCCAAACTCCGTCCCAAACCTCCTCCCCCTTACCACACACCCACTCCTGCCCTCAAACTCCCTCCCAAAGCCTGCACCCCTCACCCCCTCCTGCACACCCACCCCCTGCCCCAGCCTGGAGCCTGCACCCAGCACCCAAACTATCCCAGAGCCTGCACCCTGCACCCTAATCCCCAGCCCAGGACCTGCACCCAAGACCTCCTCCCCCCACCCAACTCCTCTCCTAGAACCTTAGGCAAGTGGGGGGGGGGGGTTCTGGGCACCACCAAAATTTCTACAAACCTGCCACCCATGCGGGCAGTCAGGGGACAGGCAGGGTCCTAGGGAGGCAGTTAGGGTGGGGGGTTCTCAGGAGGGGGCAGTCAGGGGACAAGAAGCAGGGGGAGTTGGGGGTTCTGAGGGGGGAAGTCAGGGGGGGGGAAGTGGGAGGGAGTGGATGGGGACGGGGCAGGGCTAGGGCAGGGCTCCCGCCCCCCAGTATCCTCTTTTTTAATTGTGGAAATATGGTAACCCTATGTACTACAGAGTTGTCTCTGTGGTAACAATTGTGAGCTGAACTTACTAGATTGGTGTATTTAGTATAGCATGATGACAGGGTTCAGTTGGGACTTGCTAAAACTATTTGACTATCATTGTAGGACAAACTTCCTGAAGTCTGTCCTGGTGGCAAAAACCTAATTCTGGAACGTATGTCTGATGCAGTACTAGCAAATAATGGAGATAGTGTTCAGCGATTGAGGGAGCATATTCATTATCTTGTGTACTGAATGAATCAGTGGTCCCAGAAAACAATGTATGTAATCATGAACTAGACTGCAGCATAACACTTATAATTTTCTGGATCCCAGCCCAGAGAGTACCCTCCTGCAGGCTAAAGGATACTTTGATGGGAAAGAGCAAGCCAGCAGGCAGCAGCTCATAAGGTCTGGGAGCATACACACAGTGCAGCTGAAATGGTCTGAAAATAAAGGAAGAGTAGAAAAATTAATCTGTTGCATGTGCACAAGAAGATTTTGAAAGGATTATAATTCTGATAAATCCATCCATTTTTTCATGGAGAGCAGAAGAGACATTTCTCTGACCCCAGGACTGTTCCTCTGCCAAATTTCAAGTCATGCTCCAAACCAGAGGTGCAAGAGCTGTTTAAAAACATTGAAAAATTAACATTGGAAGCACTACCTACCCTTGCCTCATTATCATCCAGAAAGAGAACAGATATGGAAAAATTAATCCAGAGTGGTTAAAGTTTGGCAAAATTATAAGCAAATGAAAACAGGGGATTATAATGGAAAGTGTGAGGAAATACTAGCCATAGGCATTATTTCACAGGTAATAAAAGGAGAAACTTATTCCCTCCCTCAATCCTGAAGCGCAACAGTCTGTGCTTTCATCAAAATGAACTAATCCAGCCATTATTTTCATGTTTGGTTCAACAGAAAAAAAACATAAGGAAAGTTTGTGGGTGAAAAGAGGTGGTTACTGTATTCACCATGAGTGACGTTCCCAAGTTCTGAAGTAGATGACACAGATATGCTGGATATGCTTGGAAGGGTATCAAGCTCCTCCTCTCAGAATATACAATAGCAAAATCTTACTTTCCCCTTATTGAGGATAAGAAAAGATTTTTATTTGACTGATTCTTGCTTTATCGAATGTCTTCAGAATCTGATTTGTACTCACGCTGAGATAGCCTCTTATCTATTTTTCCCTTTTAATACAAATTGAACCTCACTACTTTCAGCCTGTGAACATTAGCTCTTTTATTAATGTGCAATTTTATTATCTTGTCAATTAATGTGATGTTTACATTGTCATTGCCCTATCACACTATCTGTGGATTTTCTTTTATACATTCTATGCTATGTAATGTTTAATATACTATGCACTAGAACGGGGTGGCCAACCTGAGCCTGAGAAGGAGCCAGAATTTACCAGTGTATATCACAGTAATATGTCAGCAGCCCACCCCCGCACCCCCATCAGTTCCACACCACGCCCCCGCCCCCCCGCTTCCAGCACCTCCCAATCAGCTATTTCGAGGCATGCAGGAGGCTCGGGGGGGGAGTGGGGGGAAGAGCGACGGCATGGCAGGCTCAGGGGAGGGGGCGGGAAGGGGTAGAGTGGGGACAGGGCCTGTGGCAGAGCCAGGGGTTGAGCAGTGAGCACCCACCGGCACACTGGAAAGTTGGCCCCTGTAGCTCCAGCCCCACAGTCTGTGCCTATACAAGGAGCCACATATTAACTTCAGAAGAGCTCCATGTGGCTCCGGAGCCACAGGCTGGCCACCCCTGCACTAGAAGGTATAGCATATTTTGGTTACCTGTACATTTAACTGAAATTTGGAAGGATTTATATAAAAGTTAGTATCTAGAAAATGATTAAGTATTTCACACACAGGTCAGTCACTTGCATGATAGCTTTTGGAGCTATGGTTGGCTTTTCACATCCTGCTAGAACAGGGGTGGGCAAACTTTTTGGCCCGAGGGCCACATCTGGGTATGGAAATTGTATGGCAGGCCATGAATGCTCACGAAATTGGGGTTGGGATCCAGGAGGGGGTGAGGGCTCTAGCTGGGGGTGCAGGCTCTGGAGAGGGGCCAGAGTTGGCCACCCCAGAGTTCAGGGTGCAGGAGGGGGCTCTGGGCTGGGGCAGGGGGGTGGGGCATGGGGGGGTGAGGGCTCTGGCTGGAGGTGCGGGCTCTGGGGTGTGACTGGGGATGAGGGATTTGAGGTGCAGGAGGGCGCTCCAGGCTGTGACGAGGGGTTTGTAGGGCAGGAGGGGGATCAGGGCTGGGGCACAGGCGTGGGAGGAGGTCAGGGGTGCAGGCTCTGGGCAGCGCTTACCTCAGGCAGCTACCAGAGGCAGCGTCATGTCCCTCCTCTGGCTCCCTCTGTGGAGGTGTGGCCAGGTGGCTCTCCGCACTGCCTCGTCCGCAGGTGCCGCCCCTGCACCTCCCATTGGCCACGGTTCCCAGCCAATGGGAGCTGCGGGGGCGGGGCTTGGGCACTGTGGGGAGCCCCCTGGCTAGCCCTAAACGTAGGAGCCGGAGGGGCGGCATGCCGCTGCTTCCAGAAGCTGCACT